TATATATATATATATATATATATATATATATATATATATATATTATGTAAGTTGATATTGACTTTTAAACTATTTGTTACGAAGAAATATAAATTATTTGTAATTATTGTTGTTATTCTTCTTGGAAATGATTGATGATCCAAAGAGGCCTCGGAAGGTCATCATGTTTTTTTTAAAAAATATATATATATATGGAATTTAAAACTCCATGATGATTGCTATTTGTAAAATTAAATTAAAACAGGAGTATCATCGAAAACCTAAAATTGGTCGTGTAGCTTTTACAAACACAACTTTAATTTACGTCATTTATAATAAATTGGAATGTGTATATAGCCAACTAATTTGGAAGAGGTAAAAATGATAAAAGTATATCTATAATCATGATATGTATTTAAAGTTTTGAACATATAAATAACGTACATTTCTACGTTTATTTAGATCACATAAATAGCGAGTTGCTTTACTAGATTTTTCTTTTTATAATGGAGATACTCGCCCGTAATGACAGATCACGACTATATTATTAAAAGCTTGTGGTGAGAATGGGTAAGCCAAAAATTCTTTTTTTTCCCGAATATTTTGAAAAATAAAGTTAGTCAAAAAGCTAAAAGCAAATGGTCCCGTAGCTCAGTTGGTTAGAGCGTTGGTCTTATGAGCCGAAGGTCGCGGGTTCGAGCCCCGCCGGGACCATAATGTTTGTTATTGGTTATTTTTGAAATCGATTTCGTCCTTGAACTATGGATAGCTTTAAAAATATCCCTCTACTCGAACAACAAAACTTAAATACGCCCTCAATTACACATACAACCCCAACCCACCCCGCTAACAAATAAAAAAAATACATGTGTTATCAAATTAAATTGATCATTAGGTTAAAATAGAATATTGGTAACAAAACAACTATCCAAATAAGGTGAAAAATAAAAGAGAAAGGAATAATAATTGCATTGTTCTTTTTTTTCAATAGTTGATGCTAACCACAAGAATCCTCAATTAAAACGAATCAAAAGATATCTTCTTTCTTGTCTGATTTGAAGCACTACAATATTATGTTCTGATGAATATTCACTCTCTTAAAGAAAATCTTGGATAGTGATTGAACCTGATTAGGTAATATATTCTTTAGTCGAGTCAATTTCCGTATCATGACATCAGGGAGATGTTGAAGCCCAACATATACAATATGTTATTTTGGGCAATACTCGTCTCTTGACCTAGCTATTGAATTGATCTAGACACTTCTTGGGTCGAGCCTAGCACAATTGCTTTCGTCAATCAACGAGACATTGTGGCTAAAGAGGGTCTAGGGACGTCTCAAAGTTAATCACTCTTATTATTTAACTTTGGCATGATATACAAGTTTAAATATCTACTTGTGCACATTCAAAGTTGGACAGTGCAGTTGTTTGCTGAAGCCAAGTTAAGAATCATATTTATGTATTATGTCTTTAACTTTCTTACAATAACTAAGAGACTCAAAAAAGAAACGAAATTCACAGCTCTTTGACAAATATAAAGGCAACTTCTCTAGCTGTAAAAAACTTAATAAGCCACATGCTGTTGTGAAGGGATAGATAGAATCCCTCTATCATTAAACGAGATGTCTCGTGTTTGAGCTTCAAAAAAAAACAAGTAAAATCCCAATGTGAACTGTTTTCACCCTTTAATGGGTCTTTAACAGCACAAGTTCAAATCAATCGAGGCTCCAATACGAATACCAATGGTTCCTTGCTGTTATTGTTCCTATATTTGACATTTTCATCACTCCAATTAAACCTTTGTAGGTACACAAGTTAGATATATGGAAATGACAACACTATTGGTTGATGTCAACTTTGAAGTTCTTTTCCCAAGATTTGATTTTTATTTTCATTTAAACCTATAATGGCATAGAAGTCATCCCATATGGGGTCAAGTATTAACACACTCAATACAAAACTGTAATATAGAAACAAAATACAGCAAGCTCCAACTCATGATACAACCATAAAGCATTGGTTCCTCTGTCATTTTAGTAGGCCATCCTAATTATAAATGGTATTGAAGCATAGCCACTACAATAAACTCTGCAATTAAATACTAGAAAAACAATGTCGAAGCCAGAAATTTAGGGACTTATATATGGAAGTATAGTTTTTCGACAAAGGGTGTTGAAGTGATCACATTTTAGAATATTTAGTGCCATTTATCTTTCTGTTTGACAGTACCAATCAGTCATAAAGAAGGGACAATAACTACTATGAGGCAATTGTCAACATCTTGATGTGTCTAACTAATATTTTCCCAAGGGAGTAAACTATAAACCCCAAAAAAAGGAAAGAGAAAACAAAGAGAGAACATCCCACTAGACTCTTTTATTAGGTGTACTGAGATTTGCAGGGCAGGGGGACCAAGAATTCATTGCCAAGTGCCATACTTTGTTGTATATGTGTTTGGTAGTTCTTTCTATTGTTCAGCTTCTGCTTCATCTTTAATAGCAATTTGATTGGTTCTCTTCACTTTCCCAGTTTTATGAAGCCTAGCTTACCCCCACTTAGTTCTTCTACCTTCCTACATTCATCTAGAATGATCGTTTTCTTGACAATTTTGTATTCCTAACAATTTCATCATTGTGTAATCAACTACCCCTGAGACTTTTGTGCTCAATGGGGCTATGACTATTGACTCTAATCATCACTCCGTTACCACAAACTATGTTGCACGGAATCTCCAAAACTGTTGCCGCACTCATTGATATTTTTGAAGAGTCCGAGAAACATAGACCATAAACATGACTGTCACCTTATGACACAATATAAGACATTCTTTCGATTTCATTCAAGCATTATGTTGGCTAAAGTAATAATAAGAATAAGAGCAACTAACTAGACAAAAGGAATCAAAACATAAATAACAATGTTAGATGAGACTTGAATGGCTGCCAAACCCTCAATGATAGGTAATTAGGTAGACGAAGCTTTCAAGACTATATACTTATCTGTAAAGGCTAGTCTAACCAATATAGGTAGCAAAAGTCACTAAGAATTAGTTTAAAGCTGAAGGTGGCATTCACATTTGACCACTCTCAAACCCACCATCAATCAACTCTACTGTTCATAGAAAATGACTTGCCCTTTTATTACTCACAAATATCCTACAAGTGATAGGGATGTCAAAAAGGCCATGTATTTTTTTTTCAATCCCCTTTTGAGGGCTTGAGGAAGTTGTTGAAACATGAACTGGTTTTATCAGAAAGTAGTAAAGCAACTATCAAACTAAAGAAAGATCTCTCTTTCAACATGAAAAATTGACCCTTTTATCTAAATAGCTGAAAACAATCACATTTTGTTCAATCTATTCACATTTTAAAAATAGGAAAGACAGCAATCAAACCAAATCAATGAAACAGTTATCGAATTCAGGAACTATTACTAAGAATGGCTTTCAAGACTTAAAAATAACTAACAAAACATTACCAATTCTAGGTTGAAAGTCTCCAAAATCATGAAATAAAGCAAACAGCAGCAATATGACAAGTCTGGCCAAACACATAACACTCCTAATGTAGCTTGTTGAGCTAGAAAAGCTCAATTACACAAGAACTGGAAAATCAAGAACGGTGAATAACTAATTATATTAGACCGGATCGAAGAACCTGAAACAAGGATCAGGATTCTTTTCGACTCGGTGTATGCCATTGAATCAGACTCTATTTTGAACTCTCTCATTCTCCATCTCCAGGCTCTTTTGACAGCATTACTTCTGTAAGTTCTAATTGCATTCAAGTAGAGCATTTCCCTGCAAATTGGGCTCAACAATGGTTCAAGAACATTAAAGTAAAACAGAAAAATTAAAAGATTGATCAATTAATAAAGTGAATACCTGTCAGGGATTGAGAAAGATCAAACTTTTTGGAGCTAATTCAATGGCGAGAATCAGAGGAAGCAGAGGATGGCTTATCGGAAATGCCATCGTGCTCCTCTTCTTCACCTTGGATTCGAGCAGGAATACGAAACCCAGAGAATCCGCCTACTTCAGAGGCAAATCCATAGCCAGGAATTGTTGATGGATACATTGATAATGCAGCTTGATGGTGATTACTTGGATCACCTGAGGCAATTGCTATCGCTGACGGATCCATCCATGCGCGAACCGAAGATGTGTTACTGGACTGAAGGGGTCCCCTCTGAGAAAAAAACTGATTTTGACCGAATAGCTGCTGCAGCAGCGCCGGTGCTGGTGGCGAATTGAACAAGTACCCACCAGGTCCTGTTACTGCTCCACCACTACCACCAGGGCCAATTTCTCTACTGTCACTCCAAGAACGAAGTCTCTGATGCATAGACCAGCCAGAGGTGTCAAAACCAAGTGGGGTGTTTCCTCCAAAGTGGGCTGGTGCTTGACCCTGCACTTGCTCTTGTTCCCTATGGTTAGTTTGGTTATGGTGTTGAGCTTGCTGGTTTTGATGGTGAAGCAAAATAGGATCTTGAAACTGTAAAGAGAGACTCAAATCTTGGTTCTGGCTATTGGCTCTTGATAACATATGGGGTTCTTGGAAGCTATGGAACTGCATAGCTGAAGAGTTAGCTGAGGTTGAAGAACCCATTGGGAAAAAAGATTTGATAGTATCAGCAATAGCATCAGATTCTAAAGATGGAGGCAGAAAGCTAGCAGTATTACTTTCGATTGCTCTTTTACTTGAAGGGCCAGCAACATTATCAAACAAACTAACATTTCCTTGTTGAAATGCAAAGTTGTTATCTTCTTGCTGTTTTTGAGCCTGTTCCTGTTCAAGATTGGTGTTAGTAGCAGCAGCAGCAGATGCAGTACCAATTGTAGGTTTCCAGGCAGGTAACTCAGCTAGCTCATCAATGGCGGGTTTTGCCTTTTTGATAAGCCAATCCACAGCTTTACTAGGTCTATCATAACCAAGGCGGTCTTGCACATCGTAAAACTGAATAGCAGTATGAGCAGAGAGACGCACACGGCGATCTCTGGGGCCTTTGGCTGTGCAAACCTTGCTGTGGCGGTCTTTCCGCCCCGTAGACCTCACAATGTGACCTCCTTGTACTTCTACAATCTCTCCTACAGTATTCCTTATACCCAATCTTGACGTTTCTGCCATTTTCCCACGCAATGCTGCTGCATGTTCGACGTTTTGCCCCAATGAAGACGTCGAAGGCAAATACGAACGTTTCTTCGGTGTTGGCTGTGGTGGAAGCAATTGCTGTGAATCTAACCTTCCATAAATCAAGTGATGTTGATTGAAAAATGGCTGTTGTTGCTGGTTGTGAGGATGAAGATAAAGCTGAGGTTCGTTTTCTGATTGTTGTTGATTTTCTTCTTCTTCTTTGCCAACTGAATCTTGATTTTGGTTTTGATTTTGATTGAGATGATAATGTTGCTGCTGATTCCTCTGAGGATCCAGACTCAAACCCTTGTTTGCAATTTCTCTTTCCAGTTTTTGATTGTTTACACTGAAATCTCAAACTCTCTGCCATTCAACTTCCCAAATTCCATAACTTTAAATCAAAACAAATACCCCTAACCCATCATTCCCTTTCATCTAACAATTCTAGTTATTTAATTATTCAAAATAGAGTTTGCAGAGAGCAAATCAAATATATGATAAAAGATACTGTTTTTTGGTACTGCTCTATGGTTTAGCAGTGTTTTTTTTTTTTTCTTGTCAGTTATAAAATTAAAGGTCTTTGTAACCTCATCATCACTGCCATCTCTTTCTCTTTCTCTCTCTCTGTACTGTACTGTTGCAGCTACTGCTACTGCTGCTGCTGCTAACCCTTGTGGTATTTTTAATTTTTTTTTTCACTTTTGTACTGCCCAAAAAGCACATATATCACCAATCCAAACACTCTTTTTTTTAACCTTTTTGTCATTCAAACACAACCAACTTGGTTCAATTTTAACCCCCTTACTCTTCTTTCCTAGTTCTTAACATGTAATTGTGTTGTTTATCTTGTTTCATTTGATATTTATATTCTTTAACTTTGAACGTGCACGAACACGGACGAAGGTGCTGTTTGATGTCCCACTTGTGAATATTTGTCCAAAGGCCTTCTCTTTTTTTTGGACAAATATTGTTCTAAACCTGTTGACTTTTTTTTATCAGGTTTCTTAACTATGTTATTTTTCTGTTGAATCATTGAACCGCTCCTGATTTGATCCGTTTAAACAAACATTGTTGGCTGATGTGGAACCAAATTTGTGAGGGATATTGATAGAGGATACATATGTTGTTTCCAAACTCATTAATCTAATTGATAGTGAAAATATTCGAAAATAATTATGTTTTACTTAAGTCATTGGAAAGCAAATGAGACGAACACGGCTTGTCTTCATTTCTTCAATCAAAATCATTACAATTTAAACACAATTGAAGACATTTACAATAGAAAAGACGATCAAAATCAACTAACAATATTTCAAAGGAACAAATTATGGGTGGTTCAATGATTCAATAGAAAAATGACCTAGTTGAAATACATGAGGAAAAAAATTCAACAGGGAACTATTTATGAGTTCGTCCTTTTTTTTTTCTTTTCTCTTTTTGTAACTTCTTAGTTACATGTTACAACCATTTGGTTACTTGCCTCAAATTGACCTTTAAAATTTACTTCTCTTTTGTTGATGAAAGTGACATGTTACAGCTTTTTTCTGTTTTCTCTAGATCACACCTTTTTCTCTTCTCTCTTTACGTTTTTGAGTTGTTTTTTAATTGAGATCGATTAATTTAAAATACTATTTAATTTTATATTAAATTATATTTGAATTTGATTAATTTTATAGTCTTATCTACTGCGCTGTATTCGTTATTTGTATTGATTCACTTCAATGAAACAACACTATATTTTCCTCAAATTGCATTCTCTTTAAACTCACTTTTTTTTTTCCTTTTGTCTTTTTACAATATACTTTTATTTTTGGACTATGTAATTTACACTGCATGTCCTTGTGTCTAGTTGCTCTCCACTAATAAAATCAATAAATTGCTTATCCGTTCATTTATTTATTATCCAAAAGTACAATAACTCTCATTATCTAAAGGGAGCGTTTGAATATGAATTGAGTGATGTTTTTTATTTAAATAATATTTAAAAGCTAAGCAAAAAAATATATTTAAAAATTGAAATTTATTAAGTCATAATTTGAACATGTGAATAGAAAATTTATATATTTGTGATGCCATATTGAGAAAGTGTAAACGACGAATGAGATATTAAACAAGTTTCCTACTATAATAATTACTTTTTATAAACTATGATAAATAATTTAAAATATATACATTTTAATCGAAAAAAATATATTTAGGGAGAGCTCATTAAACTATCTCCTTACATTGGTATCCTTACAATGTAAAAAAAGAAATCGATATTTTATTCTTTCTAAAGTAATTGTACAATATTATTATTTATATCTTGAGATATTATATTTATATTCTTTTTAAAAAATTATAATAAATAATCTGAAATAAAAGGAATATTTATATTTTTTTGGGAATGGATTTGAAAAAGAAAAGACCCAAAAAAAAAAAAAGGTAAAAAGATAAATGCATAGATATTGTCAAAAAAAATCTTGGTGAAGGTGAGGAAGCATTACTGTTCCCTATAAATCCATGTCTGCCTAATTGCAGTCACACTGCCCATAACACTTACTCTAAAACTCTCATTTTGGAGACAAAAATTCCCCTAAAAAAATATCATCTTTTATACATTTTTGAAATTAATTTCTTATCTTTTTTTTTTATATAAAAAAAGAATATTAATATTATGGACTTGTGGTCTTTTTTATATTGGACAAGACAAACATTCTTACAACAATTTCACCAATCCAACTTAAGAAATTATTATTTCCTCCGTCATATTTTATGTGATATCATTTTATTTTTAGTCAGTCCCAAAAAAAATATCACATTTTTTTATATTGTAAGTATTTAGGAGTAACTTTCACATATAGCAAACATAAAAATCATATCTGTATGTTATAATTATGGTTTGTATAATTGCGCTCCATAGCAAATTTTATGTTTGCTTTGGAGCTTTTGATTCGTATAATTTGCTACAAACATTCAATTTTATATAATTGTTTAGTTTTGCATAAATTCATTTATACACGGTAATTTGTATAGTAAAATTTGAATTTTTCATAATTATAACTATATAAGATGAAAATATATGTATTTGTATATGTATATACACTTTTCTCTCGCTTATACAAATATGAACGCAATTTATACATTTTATACCAAACTGTATAAAATGACTAATTGTATATCGAAAATGGCTAATTATATAATAAATCAGATGGCAAAAAAAGGGGATGTTTGTTGGGAATTAAAATTAAAATAAACTATGGCTATAACAATTAATTTGAATTAATAATTTGCTATTTCATACAGTTTTCCCTTAAAAATATAGTTTTTCTTTTATCCTTATTGGTCCCACTTAATTTTCTAATACATTTATGAGAAGAGAGAAAAGTGAATTACTTTTTTTAAGGGCAATTTGATAAATATTTCAAAGTCTTCATCATTTCTTAAACTCCGTAATATTGTTAGATAAAATAAGACGAAAGGAATACTACCTAATATAAAAACAAGGTAATAATTTATTCAGTAAAATTCAATTTAGTGAATGTTTTCTTTTGGAAGAAGCTTTAGGATAGCTCTTAGCATTATCACCTTTGTCATAGTCTCTATATTCCGGTGAGTATTTTGCGTACAGTAACAATATTTATACTGATTTATAAATCACACTAAATAAAATGTATGGAATAGATTCGAGTCACGAGACATTTAACGTTTGAATCATGTAGTCATACATTCATCGAGAGAACAAGACCCATTGAAAGCACTAAGCACGATTAGCAAACTCGGATAATAAAATAATAGAGAAATATAGGATCAATCCGACTAAGGACAATTAATAATATCAAACTAATTATAGAAATATCGATCAAAACATGCTTAATATCAATGAACAACAACCAAGCCCTTCAAAAAAATTAAGACTATAATATGTATATTATTATTAAATATAAAAAAGAAAATTTAAATACTCAAAAAAAAATATGTATTTTTTTCCCCACTTCTCACGCGTAAGGGGAAAAAAATATGCTAATCCTTTACTGACAAACTTTTTTAAAATCCAGTGCAAATGTGCAATACTTTATTATATGTAAGATTTTGTAATATTTTATACTTTTACTTTAACCCTTTATTATGTAATTATATTTATTTTTATTACACGTAGACACACTAGTGCATCTTGAAGTTTCATCTTTAATAAGCGTGATATGATACGAATTTGAAGTAATTAGATATTAAAAAAAAAAAAAGTAATTAGATATTATAAAAAGATATCAAATGAGAAATTAAAAAAATACAATGAATTATGTGAACTTTAAAAAAATATTGTGTGTCAGATTCGAATCTAAATTCATAAAAATAGATGATTATTTGTGTTATTAAGCTTAAATTTAGTGTGTGTATATATGATACAATCCATTATGCTTAAGATTTAACACTTATAAATTCGATTCGATATAATTCTATATGTACGTGCGCGCAGGATCCATAATTCTGCGCGCATGCAATGTGTGATAGAAGTACTAAATAGCAGCAAATATTGTCAAGTGCATAGGCACCGCTGGGTCATTGTCATGTGCTGTGTGGGACTATGACACATTCATATAAAAATGAAAACTCCATCACATCTATAAATTAATTAACATTGGTAAAAAAAAAAAGTTCAAACTTTCGAACGTCTCACTTTTTTTTTTTTTGCCTCAAGAATGAAATCATTTTCTTTTTTCATATCGTCTTATCAGATTAAATTTAAATTCATATTTTTTTTAAAAATTATAGGAGATTGTGTGGTGAACTATTTTCTAATATGGGTGATTTCATTACAAGGTTCGAATCTAAAAAGTATGAATAAGAATTAAATGTATTTATATATCACGTTTCGTGTATTTACAGGACGATTAAATTTGAATTCGTACGAGAAATTCACATGATATTGTGTGGTAAACTACTTTTTGACAGAGGCGATTATTTTAAGGTTCAACTCTGAAATATTTGAATATAAGAATTAAGGAGTGCTTATCATTCTACAACCACAACTTTTTCGTACATTTTATGACAATATCTTCTTCCTCTTCTTCTTTTCATCCTATTGAAATATATGTTTTGTATTCGTATTGAATCAAATGAAATTTAAATTCATATTTAAAAAAAATTATATGAGATTGTGTGGTGAACTACTTTCTAATACGGGTGATTTCATTACAAGGCTCGACTCTAAAACATATGAATAAGAATTAAGGAGTATTTATATATCACTCCATGACTACAGGTTTTCTCGTGCATTTATAGGACGATTAAATTCGAATTTGTACGAGAAACTCAGATGATATTGTGTGGAAACTACTTTTTTGACAGAGGTGATTATTTTAATGCTCAATTCTAAAAGATTTGAATATAAGAATTAAGGAGTGCTTATCACCCTATAACCACGACCTTTTCGTACATTTTATGACACTATCTTCTTCCTCTTCTTCTTTTCATCTGATTGAAATATATGTTTTGTATTCATATTGAATCTGACTAAATTTGAATTCATATCAGAAAAGCACATGAATTAATTTCAATCCAAGGCTCGATTATGAAATTACTATTGCATAAGAACTAATGAGTACTTTCCATTCCACGACCCTCGGTGCATTTATGATGCCTCCCCTTACACAACCTGGACTCAATAACTAGTCCCATTATATTCCTTAAT